TTTAAATTAGCTACAGGAAGAGGTTTTTCTGCTGCCTCATCCCAGGAGTCTGTGCTGGCCTCAAAGTTTCTTTTATTTAGAAAAGATTTTCTTTGTTTTGATTACAGACTGAAATGTTCACATTGCACTGATCTCCTATTGAAATGAATGAACTCAAGACCTGAAGCTCTCCTATAAGTGTTATTTAAAGAACAAGTGTTCACTCTGTTAAGGTATTTTTCTTTTCCTCGCTGTTTGACATTGAATCACTTCCTGTTTTAAATCTGTCAAGGTTAGCAGTGGCTTTGGTTTGATAAAAGCCAGAATAATTGATAAGATTTCTTTCTTCTGCTTCTTTTTTTTAAATTCAGTCTTTAGTAGGTTTGTCTGTTAAACTGTCTGACTTGGGTCAAATATTTTGCCTTTCTTTCCTCAATGGTGCATTTTGTTTTACTTCTAGCTATTTAGCTTTATTTTTTTATTCACCTAAACTAGAGTAGCTTTCAACAAATAAGCAATTTCCTCTGGGAAATCAATAAAGTCGATTCTATTTATTTGTATGGCCAAACTATTTTGTTCAACTTCTTGGATGATGTTTTGACATGAAGCTTCAATATTTCCTCATGATGCCAGATATTTTGGGAAGTGCACCAGTCCCTCCTGCAGCACAACATAACATGAAGCTGCCGCCCCTGTACTTCAGTTTGGACAAATCTATAATCTGTCTCATTGTTTAGAGAGACAGAATCATTGCTGGAGCAGCTTTGCTTCATGTTATATATTATTGCTATATTAAATTTGCTTTTCTCTACACAAAGATTTTATGGTAGTAAAACAGCTGTAATCTTAACAGACTCTTATCCTACAGGTAATTAGGAGGGGAGAAGTGTAATCGGGTCAAACAGAACAGAGACTGCACTGTTTGACCCGGTTATGGCCACAAAGTGTGTGCTGACATGTAACTTTTGGATATAAACATTAGACCCAAATGAACTGACTAAGATACAGATTCACCACATTCATCAAACTGTTGTGTTTAAGAGCAAAGGGCCGACCGAATGCGATTTCTCCTCCGACTGAATTAGCTCAGGTGGGGAGGGAATCGTTATTATCTTCTTTGTCTCATCTCCATAATGTTTGCGTATTTCATTAGGGGGAATGCAAAATGAAACATAATTATGTTGTACCCCAGCTGACAACTGCTCTGTCACCAGGCGCATTAAAAACACGGCCGTGAAGAAAGACCATGCGGCGCTGGCTCATCTCTCACAGTTTGACAAGGCTACTTACTCTGAGTTCGTGAAAGAAAAACAAGAAGCTAATGCTTGCCTCGTACACACAACTGTAACCTTAAGCTCATTAGAGAAACAAACTTTCTCATTTCGAGCTCCTCCATCCCAGCAAAGACTGAAGAGCAATTAAACCAGAGCAGACAAATAAACTGAGGGGGAATAATCTTTCTGAATCACCTGGAAAGTCAAGTAGATAAAAAAATAAATAAATACAAACTGGGTTTCTCTATAAGGTGCAGTCAGAAAGTCTTGTAAGAAACTAGGTTGGCCTATTTCTGCATGTTTACTTGCAGCCAAGTACAAATTAACCTCCCAAGATCAACAATAAACCTAATTAGAGTTGTGTTCGTCTGCACACATCTCTAAACACAGATCACAGCTTGTTGGGAGATGAATCTCCATCTGTCTGGCTGAACAGTGGGAGGAGGAGAGTCTCTGGGAAGATCCGTCCCAGGATTCCTCTAGCGGAGCGCGCGCTATGTGTGTATGAGGGGCCAGAGGGTTGCTTCCCCCATGTCAGCTCGTGTTTTATGATGTCACGCTGCAGAGGGGAAGTGGGACATGGCACATACAGGGAGAACATGCCGCTGGATTTGAGGATGTTAGGTGAAGTTGGGGGAAGGGGAGTCCTGTCACGCTAAGGAGCTCAGACAGGAACAGCTCTGCCCTGCTAGCTGACGCTCACCACTGTAGCTCAGGCTGCCAGACGCTGAAGGAACAGAAACGTGTGGGATTGATATATGAACACAAGCCTGATTGGATTGTATGTGAGGTTCCAACACTCGGTTGTACATGATTGTTGATGTGGATAGTAGATTAAACCTGTTTGTGATGGTTGTTTGTCTTCAGTCAACTTTCTCCTCTAGTTAAAGGGGAAGTATGTGTTTTTCAGGCGCCTGACACCATTTTATCACACAAACAAAGAACTATGTTACTTTTAATCTTTTTAAAAAGGCCATGTAACTTAAAAGGCATTTGATTTTCTTTATTTAATGCCTTGAAATTGGTCTTGTTAAAAACTCCTGCAATTTCTGAAACCCCTCCTTCAGGATGTCATCACAACATGGCTCCTCTATTTACCCTTTAAAAACGCTTTTACCAGCGTTGCACTGAGAAGTAGTTTCACCAGGCGTTTGATAATTGCTGCTAGTCCAAACGTGCTGAGAGGAGAAGTCGATGGGGATTTCTGCTTTTTGAAGCGAAACTCAAAAGATTATTTAATGTTTATTTCAGAAATCCTTTAATCTCCCATGGCAACCATTCAGAGGTGACTAAACATTTGCTCTCACCGATCGCTGCCTTTTCGACAAAGCTCCACCTTGGAGCTGCGGTCTCCAACCGAGTTTCTTCTCGAACACACTTTTCCCACTCAGCTCCTACAGACTAGCAACAGCAGATATCAGCAAACGCCTGATGGAAATGCTGACCGCGTCATGAGCTACGTCTGTCCAACATTTGCAAAAATTTTTATAAATACAGAGAAATGTTCTGATGACTTTCTGAAGGTGGAGTGTGGGAAAGAGTAGGAGCTTCTTAAAGAGACAGAAGTCCAATTTCAAGTAGTTAAGTTGCAAAGTTAAAATTTTATCTAATTCATGGTTGAGATGTACAGTATTCTTATAACAACTGAAAGTAACTTGTGCTATGAAATGGCTCTATGTGCATGGAAAATGCATAATACTTCTCCTTTAAACATGAGAGATTCTCAATTGGATTGTGATGTGGACTTTGACTAGGTCTGCTGTCATCCTGATAGAAGTTGAGCCTCCATCCCAGTCTCAAGTGTTGTTTTTTTCCCCAGGATGAATCTGCCACCACCAGGTTTCTCTTCCAAAAGTGGACTAATAGTTGTTGGGTAAACATATTCTCTGACTTGAGCTCTGGATTTCTGCAGGATTTGATAAGTTTGCAGTTCAATAGATAAAAGAGAAAGGCTGGGAACTAGTTTTCAAGCCCAACTCTTCTTTAAACCTTTCCAAAAGTTTCTCTCTTACCTGTGTGCTGCGTTCCTTCATGTTCACGATGCTGTTTGTTCACTGATGTTCTCCAACAAACCACTGCAGGTTTCACAGAACAGCTGCATTTCTTCTATCGAGTCATTTCTGCAGGCTGTTGGTTGCTCTGCATTTTATTAAAAATGACGAAACATGAAAACAGTTATGATGCTTTTTCTGAGCAATGTGTTTATTTTTCTCCAAATCCAGCACAGACTGGTCATTTTTCCCCCCACCAAAGACACACACTTGGATCCATTTCATTAATTCATCTGGTATAAAATATTAAACAAGTTATTGATTTTTCCTCTCTGCTTCTTGCTCCTCTTTAGTAAAGGAAGAGAAATTTGAGTCATAAATGTTGAATGATTTTAAAAAAGCCCCTTTTTATCTAGAGGTGTATTTTATTTTTTAAGCCCCTGATTATTTTCCTGAGATGCCACTAGAGCCGTGACAGCATTTTCACTTTGGCTTTGACACTGGGTAAGATAAAGCAGTGGGAACACCGAGGTCCAAATATGTTGCTTTTATAGGGAGGAGCTGTCCCATTCATCATGTGCTGTAACACCCAGAGCTCTAGGGAAGCCCTGTCCATAAGTCAGCTCAGGGCAGGTAGCGTCTGCTCTGCCAGATAATAAAGTGAAGATGGAACCTTTGACTGAAATAAATTGAAAAACAGGTAAAAAATAATCAGTCGAAATGGGAAAATGTTAGTATTTACTACTATTTGTTAACTCTAACTGTAGTTTTGTATTTGAAATTGTTTCCATGATTGGTTTTCATTGTTCTTCTGCAGAGGTCAAACTGGTCAGTTTCACACCTGGGCTTTCACTACACAGCTGTGTTGTGGTAACAGATGGACACTTTGGTTTAAATAGCTTTACAAACATGCAAGGCATCCTCTGATGAAGACATCTAAATGATGTGATGCGTTTGCTGCTGAAGCCACACGGCTTTTTAAATGTGGAAGAATTAGGAACCCATTATGACTGTGTGATTTTTGACTATACAGGATGCAGCTGGATTTTGGAAAATTTTATTGATCAAACCAGAGGTCAGATTTGAGCATCATTTCTGTCTCCAGCTCAGAGAAAACTGCAGATGGTTTTCATTTTCTTAGCACTTGTAACCGGGATCTTGGCTGCTATTGTGTAAAAACTCTTTGGTTTTAAATGACAAGTGTTTTGTTTAGTTTTCTTTTTTTTAACACAAAATATAACAAAAATTAACATCATTCAAATAATGTTTAAACACAAACGTAGATCTCAAGCTGCAGAAATAACCCAAAATACCTGTAGCATGCAACAGAAACTCTATTTTCACAATAGGAATATAAATTCAGTCCATTTACTGACCTACAATTATTTATCTACCAGTGCAAAGAAGCAAAATACAAACAAGAATAATTTAAAAGGACATCTTTTGTTTGAATTAGTGCTCATTAGTTGGTGTTAATTACTAATTTAGTGTCACGATTGTTCAACCAGATGAAATTGGATCCGTTAGATTCGAGCGCTTCTGTAAACACCGTTTCCTGTCACTTGGATGAAACAGGAAAGACATCGACTTTTACAAGCAAATCTGATCTAAAATTTTTCTCAGGATCTTTTAATAATTATTACATTTAATTTTTCTTTATTGAGGAATAATTGTGGTTATATGTTTTTTAAGCAACCACAAAAAAAAAATCTCTTTACAATCTGGATAAAAAAAGAAGACAGAGACACAATTTTAGTTTTCAGAAATCAGTTTTAATAACAAAGTGGTTATTAATTTGTACCATTCTCCATGGAAGGACAGCCTTCATAACCATTTTGTTTTTTCCCGTGTTCTAAGCATACAAATAACCTCGAAATGTTAAAAATATAAATGCTTCTTAAGACAATAAAACATACTCGGTGACAAATAAAAGGAAGGTAGGCAGGGATATGGCAGCTTACGCATCATGGTCAAACAGGGTTAGTCAACAAAAATAAGCTTTGCTTGTTGATTCAGCCGCAGCTGAACTTCATCAAATCACCAGCAAAGTCTATCAAAGTAGGAAGAAGTGGATAGAAGTGGATATGTGGCAGCTGGTAACTGTTTACCAGAAGACATGCTTAGCAAATAGTTCACTCTGTTAGCAGCAATGTTGCCTTTGCAAATCTTGGAACAAATCTTCCCTTTGTCTGCACAGAATTAGGAGCCTTAAAGTTAACCTTTGCACTTCATACCCCTGCCTCCTCACTTGTATGAGAACCATCAGCACTCAGTGGCTTGTAAAACTGTTTATTCCCCTTGAAATTATTCACAATTCATCACATTAGAACCACAAACTTTGTTGCATTTTATCACGATTTTATGAGATAGGCCAACATAAGATACTAGTACGTATTTATGAACGTTGATAAATGGATTTAAACCGAAGTTTCAACTCTTTTTGTAGCTTCTCATGTATTTTCCTTTGAAGAAAAGCATTCCCACAGCATGATGCTGCCACCTACTTGGTGCATTATATATCTGAAGCCAACGTTTTGCAATAAATTGTATTTTAGAGTGTTTCCCTAAATACAACATTATTACAGATTCTTTCTTCTACACCAATCACTGCTTCCAAAAGTAGGGCATCCTTAAAAAGTCTTAAACTCAAGGTCTTAAAATGTTGTAAATAAATAAATAATAATAATAATAAACACGTTTGCTTTAAATATGTTAATTACATGTCTATCGTAGCAGGACTATTTAATCGTATATTATGTTTTTTCAAGCTGCACTTTTTTCTGTCAGGCTAAAGTTTGAGTCATAAACATCATTGCGTTTTGAGACTCAAGGTAATTGAAGCAATGCTAACTAGCTCTGCTAATTAGCAAGCTGGTTATCAAAGTTATTTACTCATTTAACATCTTTTGAATGTTTGTTGTGATTTAATTCACAATTAGTCTTTAAAAAGGTCAACATTTTAGATGGTGTAACCCTTCTGGTATTTACAGTTTTATCTCTATTTAGCCAGTTGTACATATTTCTTTTGTTTGTCTTTGGATCATATTATTTTTGATACTAGCCAATGTTATGTGTAAATTTTGTCCTCACTGTATCACAGTGTATTTCTTTATTTGTTTTTAAAGTAACAATTCCAAAGAAATGCTCTGAAGTTTGTGGTTTTAAATGTGAAACATCTCTGGTGTCATAAACACCCAAAGATTATCATCATCAGCTGAGGTTTGTTAGTAACAAGCACAAAGATGAAGGTATGATTCTCTGTTTTTCACACGACTATAATGGATCAGTTCAGGCTCGTCAACCTGAAAGGCTCCAGCTATTACTTTCTATTAAAACACTATGGGATGAAGAGACAACAATCACAGCTACGATGAGGGATGTTTTTGTGTAGGACTCTCTTAATTTTACGTTTAGCATAGTTTTTTTTGTCCTGCATGATGCCAATTTTTCTCAGTTTTCGGTTTGTGACGCTGTCTTTCGTTGCAGGAAACTATTACAATAACTATTAATTACTCTACTTATTTAAAAATGTTTTTTTAGATGATAAATACATAACTTAAAATCACAACAAATCTACCTTTAAAAATGGTCATCAATATTGACCAAAATAAGACTTTTTAAGATGTCTGTACAGCTTAAAGGCTAATTGAAAAGAACTTTCAGGGTTAAATACGTTTTTGAGCCAAACTTTATAATCAAAATGCAAAAATTTGCACATTTTTGCAGATAAACATCCAATATCATGGCAGATCTGTGTTGCTGGAGGACTGATCTAAAAAAAAAAAAAAAAAAAAGGTCTTATTTGAAGCTTAAAATTGTCCAGGTGTGGTGTTGCGAGGAACAAAGGGTGAGAAGCGATTACAGAGAGGAAATCACTTCTTTTGACAGCGCATCTCTATCACTGCTGTGTACAACACGTCCTCAAAACTGCCGCCACCGCAGAGTCCCTTATCCAGAAAACTCATTCTCAACGCTTTTGCTCTGTGACGGCTCCAACCTGATATTCAGCTCAGAGTTATTGTCTTCTTAAATATGCAGACTTCGCGGAGCGTTGTGGGCGCACCTCGAGCCGAGATGATGTGTAAAATTGCATTTTTTAGATGCGCGCGGGCAGAGGGAGGGGAGGCTCCGTGAAACAGACGCATCACAAGCAGCACTGGCAGATTGTTTAAATGAAAAACCTCCATCTATTCAGCCCAGGAGTCGAGACCACTGCCTCCCATTTTCCCTGGGTTCCTGTTCGAATTACTGAGGTTGCATGAGGTGCGCAGACACACGAAGCCCAAAGCAAACTTATGCTGTTGCTGAAGTAACTTCTGTCATGGTAAAAGGGTCACTTATGTCATTAGTGCTCAGGAACTGGAAGGCATTTGGAGACTCGCTCACTAAGACAAGCATCATCCTGCCTGCTGTGGCCCTCCGTCTGTAATTCTGGTCATGCCCTGTCTCCGTGTGGATTTAATGGTTGTTTTTAGTAGCATCTGCTTACAGTCTAGTGAAGTGAGGGGGACAGAGCCGCCCTTAGCATGAATATATGAATAAATAGTTTACATTGAAATATGAAACTGGGTCCTTACTAAGAAAGGAACCCACTGTCTTTTATAAGAGGAAAGCTCAAATGGTGTCGCCGATCCTGCAGCAGTATTCGTGCACTGATTGATTTCTGGAAACCTGCCGATTCTTATTTCTGTTTGAGAGAAATAAGAATTAAGACAGAAACTGTCTTAATATTAAACTATTTCTGAGAAACATCCCTAGTGCTTCAAAATAAAAACATAAAGAAAGGGAAATTCTCCAGAGTGTGGCCATTATTTTATCAGAAATAAATACACTGTTAGAAGAGTTAAATCGCTGCAATAAACGATTAATGAAGACGTTGGTCCATAGATTGATGCCCTACACAGAAATGTTTTCTATACTTAAGGAATTAGAAAAAAAAAAATACAGTCAGGTTATATTATGTGTTTTGAAAATACAAATTACCCAGAATATTACTGTAATTTCAACTGGCCTGTGATGTATTTGGTGAAAACAAAAGAAGGTGATGTGGACCACAGAGGCAGCATTTACTCAGGGTTGAGTTTGGTCACGACATCGTTGGTCTTACATGATACAAAATTAAAAAAAATAAATGCAAAAAGTCAAATGTAAAATGATATGATTAGAGATTAACAATGAAGGCTCCCACAAACTTGGGTGTACTTCCTGTCGCACATCGAACGGTTTTAAATGTGACGGTGAGCTGATAAGGTTGCCAACTTGGGGACAAAATGGAGTCAGAATTTGAAGATATAAGAAATAAGAAATATAGTATGTTACATTAATGAGGAAATATAAAGACCTTCACTAAACAAAAACACTTGAGAAATTAAGGAAATTGTTACACATGACGCTCGTCGACCGTACAGCCGAGTCTGTGGGAGCCTTAACCGTTCTGTCGCGATCATTTGGCGTGGATGATGGGTGATGATGGTGGTAGGAGTTCGCCCCACAATCTGTATTCGATCTCTGGCAACTCTCAGCTTGTGGGCAGATGTGGCAACTATCCAGTAGCGTGCCGCCATCAATGTGTGTGAATGGATGAATGACTGAGCGTAGTGTGAAGTGATTTGAGCCTCTAGACTTGATGAAGTGCTATACAAGTGCAATCCATTTATTATTTGAAATGTAACACAAAAAAAAAAAAAAAAAATGTTTTTTTTTTTTTTTTAAGTTTCTTCGATGTAACTTCATCTTAAAACATCTCAGAGTTACTGAAACTGGCTGATTTCAGTAACAACTTCCAGTGTGAAGAGTGTTGTTCTCGTGCGCTCATAAGATTAGAAGTGGATTTTACAGGATTATAGTTTCTTATCTAAGGGAGCAGTCAGTTTTCACACAGCTCAATTTTCAAACCTTAACTTCCCCCCCCATTACTCCAGCTGTTTTTTTAGCCTTATTGAAAAAGTGCCATAAACATGTAATACCTTTTAAACACTGAGGTGTGCTTTGTTGAAACCCTGTGTGACCTAACGAGAGGTCTGAGTGTTCTTGTTTGTCCCTGACAGAGACCTGGATGCATTTAAAAATGTCAGCCTCTAATGGTAACAGCAAAACTAACCTCGGGACTCAAATCGGCACCTGAAGGGTAAAAGTGAGATTACACAACACAAAATTAAATCAACTAAAATGTCTTGCAGTTTGAATGTCAGTGAGTCACGTGCTCTGTGTTGGTGCAGACAGCCGCCAGCTCCTGTGGCTTTGTTGGAGTGCGAAGACGCGATTATGTCTGAAGAAAGGACGTTAAATGCGATAGTATTACACTGTCCTCTCTTCCTTTAAGACTTGTAGTTTCCATTTAAAGGACAGCTGTCCATGTTCCTCCACAAGCATGCAGTTTTCAGAAGTCCATCTTGGATATATGTCTCTGTGCAGCATACTGTTATGTTTCTCCTGTCAAAACTGAGTTAATTGAAGCATTTGGATTAAAATATAGGTTAAACCTGAAAATTAACAGCTTTTAAAATGTTTCAGTTCCAAAATCTTTAAGCAATAAAAAAAGCATACAATAAATATGTAGCGTGTCCAATAAAGACTATAAATGTTATTCCATTCTTTAGGCAGTTTTCCATACTTGGTGCTGGGTAAGCCACAGGGAGGGAGGTGGTCTATCCCTCCTGATGTCTTCCTCGTCTCCTCCTCCTCCTCCTCATCGCAGGCCTCTTTGGCACTTATCTAGGGTCTTGTAGTAGACGCGGGTAATCATCGAGCTTGGTGATTTGGGTTGTGGCGTGAGCGAGACCTTTCGAGGGCTGCACGGCGGTTGTCTGTTCAAGAAGAGATGGGGGGGAAAACAAACAGGTGAGACTGGAAAAGAAGAAGGAAGGGCTACATTGATTCATGATTGGCAGAGGAGCTGAACTACATAAAAAAAAACTGCACAGAGAAGCTAAAAGAGGGGAGTGGAGAAACAAGGCTGATTGAGAGCTAAGCAGCAGGGGATGACAGAGAAACAAGGAGCTGCAGGAGCAGAGCTGCTTGTGTCTGGTACCATAGTAACTCCCTTCATCTCCTGATCCTGGCTTCTTCTTAAGAGACCCTCAACTGTCCTCACATCAGATGTGACATATGCACAGCAAATAAAGGGTTGTGGCGTGAGCGAGAAGACAAAGAAGGCAAACATACGAGCAGGGATGGAGAGGATTACACATCCAGGGTGTTTTTCTGTTAGCATCAGCTTGTATGGGGCATTAGAGAAACTTTAGCACCTCAGCTCACTTTCAAAACAATTCTTTCTCCAACTGTGAGCATTTCAACAATTGGTTTACAAATGAACTCCACATTTTATCACATTAAAACCACTGACATTTTTTGGTGAGTCTTACATATGAAAGATCAATATGAGGCTGTGTGTAACTAAAGTGGATGGAAACAAAGTTCTTGCAAGTCTTTTGGAGTAAATATCTACCTGCTTTTCACATCTAGAGACTAAAGTTTCTGCCTTTTCTTCTATGAAGATAGGAGAGAAAATGAATATGCTTAAATCTAATCAAAGGATCTGCAACTCCAGTTGTCCATTGCCGTGTTTCCAATGTTTTTCTTTTATGCACATTTTAAAGTATCGCTTTAGAAAACTTTGATGAAAATGGTTAAAATTCAAAACAACTTCCTCAATTTTCCCAAAAAAGTTTTTATGCTCACTTGAGGTGGTTCAAGGCTTTTGCAAAAAGATAAAAAAGAAGAGATGGAAACATATTTGCCAAACAAGTTCTGATGCTGCAAACTTTCCCAGCCACTAGTGGTTCTGTGCCTCACTGGAGGCAGGAAACTGAGAAATTTGTAAATCCAAACCTCCAGCTCAGAGGTAAGTACTCTCAATACTTTTTGCAACATTTGGTCCATGCTAGTTTGCAACTTCTAAGTCTTATTAATCACAGCAAATAAAGGGTTTGCTATGTGAAGCCTGTTTGATTTGCACCAAACCAGTTGATGGAAACACATGTAATTTGTATTTTCCTTCTTTTTAAATTCACATAATAAAAACACATCCATTTCTTCTGGATTCATCCGTGCTCCCACACGCTTGAATCAATAGACTGAATTTTCTCCTTAGCATCTTAGCAACTTTTGCAAAGTTCATTTAATTCAAGCGTGTTGGAGCAGGGAGACCTCCAAACGTTGCAGGGTAACAGCACTGGAGGACTGGAGCTGCAGACCCTGACCTAAACCTTTTCCGACCATGAACGTCAAACAGGATTTCTAAAGGGGTTTGATGGTATTTTATGTAGGTCAAAAAATACAATCCATTTGTCTCATCTGAGAGGACAGATTCAAGATTTCTATTTCTAAACATTAAAGCCTTTGTTTTGATCTAAAACACAAAATCCTGATTTGAAATCTGTGGTTGTGTGGAAAATGTGTAAAAGTTAAAGGGTAATAGTTTTGCAGGCACTATAAGCAGCGGCAAACATTTCCCTTGGGGTGAGAAATAGGCGACAGTTGAACTCTGGGGATTTTCTGTTGCCAGGTTCATGACAAAGTCATACAAATATTTCTTCCTCTGCTATCCAACCGTGGCTGCCCAGAAATGCCCAGGACATCCTTCGGGCAGCCAGGTGGCAGGTGGGGCTGGACGGAACCAAGAAGCCGAGCCACAAAGACGACCGCAGGCACACCCACGCAGGACTCCTGGTATTTCCAAGCATGCTACTGCCAACGCGCCCATTACTCAATGCTCTGCTGTGAGGTGCCAGGCGTCCGAGGCTGGGCGTTGGTTAATGGCAGTCATTCCATCCATCATGTCAGGTAATGAGCTGAGAGCGAAAGCGATGGCTGGGAGACATACACAAACAAGATCCCGCATTCACAGCGGCGAACAGAAAGCAGGTTGGATACAAAGCATCATGCAGATGGTGCACAGGAGGAGAGAGGAGGAGGGAGAGAGCAGAAGGAGGAACAGGAAGACAGTTCAAGATGTAAGGAAAAGAATGTTTTCTCTCTGCTTTTTCCAGCCAAACGCACGTTTACGCGCTGTATGCTAGCGTGAGAGCTAACGTGTTTTGGCAGTGTGTCCAAACACATCACAACTACTTATTCATGCACTCATTTCGTTCTGTCCACAGGTTACGCTTCACTCTGTGAGCACGACTCACGAAACCTTCCTCCTTTCAAAACAAGCTTTCACAGCACACAAAAAAAAGAATTGAGGGGGAAAAAATGGGACAGTTTCAAAAAATAAAATAAAAGTAGATCATCCACAATTTATTCCTGCCAATCATTTACGAGTCCAGCTGCTGTAGCCTCATTTCTGGGCGAATAGTCGCCTTTGACCTCTCAGAGGAGCTCGGAAAACAGAGCCTCGGTCTTGGAGGCATTCATCTTGAACTACATTTAATCCAGTAAACAGGATGATGGGAGGGCAGAAAGACCAACTGGGACTTTACAGAGCAGGACAAGTAAATAAAGACAAACTGGATCAATCTGAAATTAAAAGTACTAAAATGGGAATTTAGTACTTCATTTTATACCTTTGAAGGTTTATAAATTGCTCAAACAAGTTTTTGCACAATCTGGCTTTTATCTGGGTCAATAATGTGCCATGTCTGAAATCGAGTTGGCCTCAATGAGGATAAGAACAATAATTCATGGAAACAGGGTGACAAAGAACTCTGGCATCTTAGCATTTTAGACTTTTTCTTTTGTTTTTGCTTGTCCCACAAACTGAGATGATGGTCCACATTCTGGTCTTTACAAAAATATTTGGCATCATTTTTGTAAAGAATGTTAGATGGGAGTACTAAAATATTGGAGTATAAAACTGGGTTTTTAAAGAGACCTTAAATTAATTATGCTGGGAGGAAAGGGCCATAATTCCAGCAAACTATGGTTTTAGGCTGGAAGCCCAAAACGATTTACCCAGCTCAGACAGTTTAAGAATAATCTCTTTTTTTTCCTTGATAAAAATACATCTGACATTGAACAGAAAAAGTCATTGAATGTCTGATAAAGACTCAAAAATTGGTATTTGTCTTTGTCTCCACAGTTTATCATTTTTAAATAAATGTTTATTACATTTAAAACTTCACCTTGCTGTGGTGAATTTGGCTGCTAGTGTAAAAGAAACTCTTCCAAAAATTACATTAAGTTAAATGTGATTTCAGATTTTTATGGTCACTGTTTATCTCCACAATTATCTAAAAAAAAAAAAGGAGGCAAAGCATCTGCATATGGCAACAAACTGACCCACAACTTTCCATGTAACAAATAATTTATGTCTGGGCTTGGTTATTTTAGAAAGCGGCCATTTTGCATGCTGTGTAAGCTGAAAGCCATTGACCATTAGAGTGACCACTTGCTGAAACCCTTCAGAAGCACTCCCTTACTGTAAGCAGTGGTTGCCAAGTGCCCTTTTGGGGTTTTGAAGTCTCTTGCCTAACTGCCTAAATATACTGGAAAGCTTTTGTCAAAGACTTTGTTAAAAGGGAGAAAAACCTTCAGCAAAATGCATCTCCATCACAGGATTCTTGAATAGCGAGCTATCTCCAGGTGCATACAAGCCCATCTTTTCTCACCCCACATCAATCTATCACAACAACTGAACAAACAGCAACCATTTCTACTGGGAGCGAAACATTACTGCTAGCCTCTACTGAATTGAAAGCTTCAAGCACAGACACACATATAAATACGCACGAACTGGTGTAGAGGGAAACAAAGTGAGGCAGGGGAAAAGGAGGACAGATCCACACAAAAGAAAAAAAAAACTACTCTCTTTTTTTGTGCACTGATTGCAACTCTCTCTACTCGCGTTGGTTTTGATGGCTTCTTTACCTGCGTCTCCCAGAGGCGACATCTTTTCGAGTTACAGCAGAAGCGACACAGAGGAGCACGAGAACAGGAGAAGAAATTGACAAAAGAGGATCAGGTATTCTGTGTTACGGCAGGGGGATGTTGGCATCCCAGCACTTAATTAAGTGCTGGCTTGGCACCGTGTCACAAAATGTAGCTAAACGCACCGTGAAAATCAGCAGGGGTGGGTGGAAGGAGGGCAGAGTCACTGACACGCAGACATGCACAAATGCATACTATCTCTTTCATTGTCACACACTTGAGGAAATGAATTGTTCCTTAAATTAACTTCAGTGTGAAATCTCTGTGCATTGCTTTGAGGAATTCACACATGTACGCCTCTGCTTCTAAAAGAGAAGAATCTCTGCATGTACATCGTGACGACCCAGACCACTCAGGAGAAAAATAAAAGACCTTGAAGTCAACCTTTTCCTCAAAATTGCCTAGAGTAAGTCTCTGTCTTGTGCTATGATAGATGTGATGAGATTCCTTAACAGATTATGTGTCTTTATGTCCTTTGTGTTCCTGCCATCTTTTGCTAATTGCACTGAATTACATCATGATGGTGTTCAGCGATGTGTAAAAGGAGGAAATCCAGCCACTCATCTATCAAACGCGTTCAGCTTGAGGTGCTGGAAGGAATTACCTCTCCTTGGTCAGAGCAAACAGGAAGACTTCAGAGGGATTACACCGGGATAGTTAAATACTGCATGCGCAGCAGGCTCTGGGCAAACATCTAAATACGGCTCACTTATTGATCAAGGTCAAATAATCAAAAGGCTGAAGCAGCTTCAGACGGGAGAGGCTGTTTCCGCCGTCTTTTGTGTTAAACAAGTGAGCAGTGACTTCTCTCACAGCATCGCTGTCTTTGTGAGATTTCTCAGAGTGGCTTCATGCCTCACTTTGTGACAAGTTGAAACATAATAAAGGTGATTAAATCTCAGCATGTAGTGTTTGCTCCCTGGCTAAGAAGAAAAGC